TGAAATTCAGCTACTAGCAAGAGTCTTCTGTTATTCATGGCTAGGTTGTCTATTGGGTTTTTTGGTTGAGAAATACGTCGCCTGTCAAAGTCGGAAATCCGATTTCGGATGGCATCGATTCGTTTCCGTTTTTCACCTTGCTTGATTGAAAAGTCTGAAGCGATGTAGCTTCCAGGAGCTGCCTGAGTAATTATTGTATTTGTGTTTGTTTTTTTCATATATCTAATTTCATGAAGCCGAGCGCAGTTCATGAGGCTATAGTTTATGCATGTTTGAATTAAGATTTGAGATAATGATCTGACCTATAGTATGAGGTTTGATTTAAGCTTGCAGAACTTTAAAAAGTCTTCAGTCGATATTTTCTCACCGCAAATAGAAAGAAAAAAACGTTGCGTTTTTGTTTTGGCTGTAGAAAGAAAGCTTTGAGCAATTTTCTCGCCTTGAGTTCATCTTTGAAAACAGCAAACACCGGGAAGCCGGCTTTAAAACATAAACTTAGGCTTTAAGCATAAAGACTCAGGATTCTTAAAGACACTTTAATACTTAATTGTCTTCGTGAATGAAAATTGTTGTCTCTGTAAATGTTTCACCGAATTGTGTTTCTTTTATTGATTGATAGTAGTCTCTCTTGCAATTTGCCGTTAATGTATTCAGTTGCGGGAGTACTCAAAACGTCGCCCGTATTAAACGCTTGTTAAGTTTACACATCGTTATAAAACCATTAAATAAAAAAAACACAATAAATTCTTTATTATGTTGAAGTGTAACTCTATTAATGTTCATTCAAACACTCCACAGCTTGCAACTGGCTGGCCGTTATATAGGTGATTTTGGAAATTTTTTTAGCGGTTTCGCTAAAAGCCCACGCGTGCTTCGATCGTCCTGAATATTGAATGAGTGTAATTTATATTTCAAAACTGTGAAATACTGCATTCTGTCTGAGGTCTGTATGATAAAAACAGCGCCTCATAGTACTTTTTCACCTCAGACTGTCAGATGTGATGTACAAAAAGTATAAAAGGTTGGTTTACACGCCCCCAGGTTTGTTAGCAAGATTTTGTAAAGCAAACTTGTCAAACGGAAAAAATTCTGCCGGATTTGTTTTCCAAGTATTTGTTTTCCAGGCCTAATGTACTGTGATCAAGAGCCATTATGGACGTTAAAATGTGATCGAAGATGATTGCTATTTTTTGGGTGTACATATAAAGGCCGTCAACTCGATGTAAGGTTGGTGCACTCTTGGACTGTTAGCAAATTATTTTTCTCTCAAATCACTTAGCCTTAATCCCTCAAAACAAAAGTCACATGAATTTGCTCTAAAGTGAACTGATTTGTGGAATACAAGTTTATTGTTTGATTGAAATTACAAATTTATTAATGGGAGCTTCGCTTTTAGCCCTGGCTAAATCTATATATTTATGTAAGCCATTCGTATGAGTACGATTAGATTGACAGCTGTCAAAATCAGACAGCCGCTGACAATTATCACATGACCATCTCGCGGGCTCAGATGAAAGACCAGTCGTTTTGCCCCTGATATAATATGTCACACTTACCAATTCAACATAAAAACGAAACTACGCCAGGCAAGGCTGTCAGTTGGCTGACAGTCGTTTAAAGTTATATTGGCAAGCCAAATTAAGGTCAATTGACAGCTGTCAAAATGGGACATGTGCAGACCACTATCAGAAAACTAATAACGTGGGCTCAGGTTCGCTCAGGTACACGATCTGGCATTTTCCACTATGCCGGACGGATATGTCTTACTCACACTCGTAGTCTGTTAATTCGACTATTCGCCATTCTAATGAAGGTTAATTGACAGCTGTTGCGCTGATATTTCTTTTGATCACGGGCTCAATTCGAAGCCCTATAGCTTAGAAAATCTATCCATCCTAGAAAATTCGGCAATCACGTGACCGTACACCGACCATCCTACCTTCCGTCCGTCCTCACCCCAGGCATACCAACGTGTAATCTCACACTTTCTAGCTAGTTTGGAAGCCTGCAACCTGATATTGTACATCCATGTTTTGATTAATTGACAGCTGTCAAAATACTGTTTCTGCTGACCAGTATCGCCTGACCGTATCGCGGGCTCAGGTATCGACCCACTGAGTTCGAGTTTTTTGAAGGTATCCGCTGACAAGTTGATACTTTTCAAATGATCGCAGGCTCAAGTTCAACTTTTTTAAAATGCATATGAAATAAGTCGTGTTCATGAGCAGCACTTTTAAAATGTTGATTTCGAACTGACCTCGGACTCGAAAATTCAACCGGCTTTTACATTTACATGCAGGGAAGGCAATCGCTTTTGACTTTTCTCACTGTCACCCGCTGATCACGCTCTACGTCCAAAATTTGGTCAAAATTTGACAGGTAAGTTCATGCGGGAAATTTATGCAGCGTCTGGAAACTTGCTTACTGATAGCTGGAGCTGACAGAGTTTTTTTTCATCTTGTGTATAAAACGAAATACAGCTGCTATCAAGATTGTTCTGTAATTCATGGCTAGTTTGTTTATTGCGCTTTTTGTTGACAAATGCACCGCTTGTCAAAGTCATTGGAAATCCGATTTCGGATGGTATCGTTTTCAAAAACGAGCTTACTCACTTGCCCTTGCTTGAGGGGTAAGAGGGTTGAAAAGTCTCAAGCTATCCTGGAACACTTGATGGCCTTCGGAAGCAGCATCTTGACTGGTAAGCCCGAGCACTTATTGTCTTTGATGCGTTTTTTTTTTCGGTTTCCGGAAGTCGAGCGCATGGTTAATGCGGCTAAGTTTATACACGAGCAATGATCTAGCTTACAATAGTATCAGGTTTACAAAGCCTTTAGACATTTTTTGATCGCAAATCCAAAGAAAAGGTTTCGAAGATTATTTAGTTATGATTTTAGCTGTAAACAGAAAGCTCTGAGCGATTTTCTTGCCTCGAGTTCATCTTGAAAAAGAGCAAACACCGGGAGCCGGCTTAAAACATAAATAAGCTTATGCTTACCTGACTCATGATTTTCAGAGACACTTTACTCTCAATACTTCTCTTGGTGAATGAAAATTATTGTCTCTGTACATGTTTCACCGAATTATATTTATTTTATTGATTGTTAGTAGTCCCTCTCGCAATTTTTATCGCTGCACCGGTTGTTTCCAGTCTAACATAAACATCGCATGCAGAAATACTCAAAACGCCGCGCGTAAATATCGCTCACTTTTAAAGATTACACATAACAAAACCATACACAGTTTAATAAATAATAAAGGGAAATAAAACCTAAACTTAACAATTTCTCTATCATGTTGAAGCGTAAATGGTAACTCTATTAGTCGCACTGCAAATGTGGTGCCTGTCAAGAGTGAGAACCCGTCCCGCTGGCCGAAAAGTGATTTGGGAATTTTTTTTATAGTTTTCATTAAACGCCCGTAATTATTACCCTGCATATCACATAGGACCAGATTTTTCTAACTGAAAAGTCCCGGCATTATCTGAGAATTCTCTTCATGAAAACATATTATCATTCAATACTATAATTTGTTATGCAAAGGAAGCGCGTACTTTGATCGTCGTGGATATTGAATGAGTGCAAATTCTCTTGCAAAATTGTGAAAAACTGCGGAACTATAGGTTCAAATAGGGCAAAAAAGAACAAATTCTGTCCGAGGTCTGTTTGATAAAAAAAAGGGCCTCAGAGTACTGTTTATCTGAGACGTGATGAGAAAAAGTATGTTTAAAAGGCTGGTTTACACGCTACCAGATTCGGCGCCAAGATTTACTGGTAAACTAAACTTATCGAACACAAAAAATCCGGCCTGATTTTTTATTTTGGCCTTTCTTCTAGACAGAGGAATGCAACGTGTAAATTGGCTGCCACCAAGGACTATCGTGGCGCGTGTGCTTCTTAAAATTATATTTCGGGGTTGTCCAATTATCCATAGTCTCTCTAACGGAGCAATGTTGGAGAGACTGGTGAAAGCCACATTATGATGCAACAGCTAATGCAAATACAATACACGAATAGGTCTATTTGTTTTCCAGGCCTAATCTACTGTGATCGAACATGATTGCTATTTTTCGGTGTACAAATAAGACTATTTAATAACTCGATGTAAAATTTGTTTCACTCTTGGACTGTCAAATCATTTTTCGCTAAAATCACTTAGCCTTTGCCTCAAAAGTCAAATGAGTTTATTGTTTGATTTAAATTATGAATTTATTAACGGGAGCTTCGCTTTTAGCCCTGGCTAAATCTATATATTATATAAGCAATTAAAAATTATCGCGAAAAGCTATTAAAATAGCGTCTCGCTGGCACAAATGTTAGACTAAACGTTTTTAAGTACCATTTACTCTCTTGTCAACAGAAATTGTCCAAGATGTGGAGATCTTCTAGCGATGGCAAGTTAATAAGTTATTGCTAAGAGTATTTGTGCACAACGTATGGAATTTTGTGCTGGATGAAAATGAACCAGTGGCCAGTTACCAGGGTGGGGTGGGTGGAGGGTTGGGGGGGATAGAAAAACCCCTGTTGTTTTGCCTTGTCAAGCTGACTATATTTTAACCCGTGATGCGCCTACGCCTAACGTTAGGTCATAACATAGGCTAGAGCAAAGCAAAGTTTCGTTGCCTGAAGAATATGCTTCTGAGGTTCTCTTCTCTTTTTTTCAGTGAATGACGGAAAGTTTGTTTGGACGCTCCGTATGAAACTTGAACTCAAAACATTTCTTTACGACATTTGCCATTATGATATTTAAAACAAAGAGTTGCACAGCGTATAAAAATTTATTTTATTCATTCAATCATTTGTCTCTTTAATTGTATGGTTTACTGGCCTCTTTAAAAAAGGCACTTTACAGTTGAGCGTTGTTGTTTTACTGCTTGAATCTAGTCTTACTATGTTTGGCAATAGAATCCCGTTGCTGTTAAAGTAGAGGGCGATACACAATCCTTCGATGTGGACCGAACGTTTGAAGCCCCGATCTATGCATCCACAGCAAGCGCAGATTACATGCCACTTCATCCCTCAACGAGAAGCTGGGAGATCAGTCGCAGACAGGTCAACATAGTTAAAGTCATTGGTAAAGGAGCTTTTTCACAAGTTGCCAAGGCGACAGTAAACGGCATGCGTGGAAGCCAGGATAACTTGACAGTAGCAGTAAAAATGCTTAAAGGTGTAGTGTAATTCAGTGTACTATAACTAATAATTGGATATTTGGGTAAGGTTGAGTCCAAATGTACGTCAATACACTATACTTAAAGAAGAAGTCTTTTGTCTTATTTAAAATTTGGCTTGTGGCACGAAGACTCATGGCGAATTTTATCGCTAGCAGGGCCGCCTCGAGACCCGAAAACCTCGTTCCGCTCGCTTTAAGAGCAGCTTTTCTAAACTCGTGTCAGAGGTCAATTCGTTGTTCCAAGTTTAGTAATATTTACCTGATTTTCTCGCGTTCTAGCCTCAAACGTTTGAAAGGCATAAATAAAAATGCAATCTGAACGCTATGAATCATCGCAGAGGTTAGTCAAAAATTATATTCTGACTGATTTCATGGCACTAGTTTTTCTAAACATGTAGTGCCTGTTTGTTTGAATTTGTCGGCCGTAGGGAGGTTCATTTAAAAGTTTACTGACGCGTCGTTGCAAAAAATTCTGCTTCAAGAAGCTTAATTCCACAAGAGCTCCTCAGTCACATCAATGTCTCAATGGTTTATTTCTTACAGTCTTTATTTCATTTCTCCGTATTCCTTTCACAATTATAAAAGTCTGTATGGAAGCTAGCAAAAGAAATAAGCCTTCAATCGTCATCAAAGCGCTTCCTATCTTTTGTTCCTTTAAAAAGACAACTCGTTCAGTTGGATGGTTTTGATGCAAACAAAACAAAAAAGACCAAGTGGACAGAGAACACTCAAAAAAGCTCACCGCATCAAAACGATTACCGCAATGAGGTAATGGTAAAAATTGACAAATTTTTTGTGTTCTTCTTTTTAGCAAATGCTCCATCTTCAGATAAAAAAGACCTTCGGTCAGAACTTGACGTGATGAAAAAACTAAAACCTCATCCCCACGTGATCAAGCTGTTGGGCTGCGTCACAGAAACCGGTAAGGAATGTGTGAAGGGAGTAACGTTTCAGTTTCTTGAAATTTGTGGCATATACGTTTTCCTGATGATTGTATACTGCCGGTCATTCGAATGATAGAGGGTTTTAACTAATATGACCAGAAGTTATAGGTGCACGTTAATTAGAATAAAAGTAAACGTTTACATAACAGAAGTATTCAATTATTCCCACAGAACTTGTCTGGTACACCAACGTGGCCGCCGTTCCATTGTTTTGGAACACCAATATGTCCTTCTTGATAGATACCATATGGAACAATTTAATAGGCAGGAAATATTAGAATGGATATATCACTGCGTTGAATAAAGTCAAACAAAGAGAACTAATTCCATGAGTTGAAGTAGATAACTTTAATGGCTTACCTATAAACTAATAGAAATGTCAGCAAATTAATTTTCAAATGAACATATGACCATCACAGCTCTAATGCAATTTAAGAACTTGCTACATTTTGTAAGTATGTTTGAAAGAAATATTGCAGAGTTTCAAAGAAAATAAAATAATAATGCGGTCAAACCCATGCAGTCTATACAAACACTGAGGGGACCATAGAAAGTGTCCGTATTAGCTGAGGGCTTTTTTTCCCCAGGGACAAAGCAAACTGTCCGTAATATGTAATGAAGTGTTCGCATTTAGCGGATGTCTTTAAAGCGGGGTTTCTTTGCAATTCAGGGCTTTTTATTTTCGGCCTTTGCTTCTGTTCCCTAAATTGCATTTAAACCTGCGATGATCATACCTCCAGTTAGATTTTGTATTGTCGCAGTTCACATAGTCTTAATTGAAAAGTACTAACTTCATTCTATGTCCCTTCGTGCGAACAAAATCATTAATATTTGCTTGGAGAGTAAATCGGATAATTTTCTAATGATATGTATATTTTTTACCATAGAGCCGTTGTTGGTTTTAATTGAGTATGTCCCGTACGGTGACCTACTGGGCTACTTGAGGAAGAGTCGAGGACTGAACGACACGTACTTTAAGGACCCGGATATGAAGCCACAGACCAATCTTTCAAATACAATACACGAATAGGTCTATTTGTTTTCCAGGCCTAATCTACTGTGATCGAACATGATTGCTATTTTTCGGTGTACAAATAAGACTATTTAATAACTCGATGTAAAATTTGTTTCACTCTTGGACTGTCAAATCATTTTTCGCTAAAATCACTTAGCCTTTGCCTCAAAAGTCAAATGAGTTTATTGTTTGATTTAAATTATGAATTTATTAACGGGAGCTTCGCTTTTAGCCCTGGCTAAATCTATATATTATATAAGCAATTAAAAATTATCGCGAAAAGCTATTAAAATAGCGTCTCGCTGGCACAAATGTTAGACTAAACGTTTTTAAGTACCATTTACTCTCTTGTCAACAGAAATTGTCCAAGATGTGGAGATCTTCTAGCGATGGCAAGTTAATAAGTTATTGCTAAGAGTATTTGTGCACAACGTATGGAATTTTGTGCTGGATGAAAATGAACCAGTGGCCAGTTACCAGGGTGGGGTGGGTGGAGGGTTGGGGGGGATAGAAAAACCCCTGTTGTTTTGCCTTGTCAAGCTGACTATATTTTAACCCGTGATGCGCCTACGCCTAACGTTAGGTCATAACATAGGCTAGAGCAAAGCAAAGTTTCGTTGCCTGAAGAATATGCTTCTGAGGTTCTCTTCTCTTTTTTTCAGTGAATGACGGAAAGTTTGTTTGGACGCTCCGTATGAAACTTGAACTCAAAACATTTCTTTACGACATTTGCCATTATGATATTTAAAACAAAGAGTTGCACAGCGTATAAAAATTTATTTTATTCATTCAATCATTTGTCTCTTTAATTGTATGGTTTACTGGCCTCTTTAAAAAAGGCACTTTACAGTTGAGCGTTGTTGTTTTACTGCTTGAATCTAGTCTTACTATGTTTGGCAATAGAATCCCGTTGCTGTTAAAGTAGAGGGCGATACACAATCCTTCGATGTGGACCGAACGTTTGAAGCCCCGATCTATGCATCCACAGCAAGCGCAGATTACATGCCACTTCATCCCTCAACGAGAAGCTGGGAGATCAGTCGCAGACAGGTCAACATAGTTAAAGTCATTGGTAAAGGAGCTTTTTCACAAGTTGCCAAGGCGACAGTAAACGGCATGCGTGGAAGCCAGGATAACTTGACAGTAGCAGTAAAAATGCTTAAAGGTGTAGTGTAATTCAGTGTACTATAACTAATAATTGGATATTTGGGTAAGGTTGAGTCCAAATGTACGTCAATACACTATACTTAAAGAAGAAGTCTTTTGTCTTATTTAAAATTTGGCTTGTGGCACGAAGACTCATGGCGAATTTTATCGCTAGCAGGGCCGCCTCGAGACCCGAAAACCTCGTTCCGCTCGCTTTAAGAGCAGCTTTTCTAAACTCGTGTCAGAGGTCAATTCGTTGTTCCAAGTTTAGTAATATTTACCTGATTTTCTCGCGTTCTAGCCTCAAACGTTTGAAAGGCATAAATAAAAATGCAATCTGAACGCTATGAATCATCGCAGAGGTTAGTCAAAAATTATATTCTGACTGATTTCATGGCACTAGTTTTTCTAAACATGTAGTGCCTGTTTGTTTGAATTTGTCGGCCGTAGGGAGGTTCATTTAAAAGTTTACTGACGCGTCGTTGCAAAAAATTCTGCTTCAAGAAGCTTAATTCCACAAGAGCTCCTCAGTCACATCAATGTCTCAATGGTTTATTTCTTACAGTCTTTATTTCATTTCTCCGTATTCCTTTCACAATTATAAAAGTCTGTATGGAAGCTAGCAAAAGAAATAAGCCTTCAATCGTCATCAAAGCGCTTCCTATCTTTTGTTCCTTTAAAAAGACAACTCGTTCAGTTGGATGGTTTTGATGCAAACAAAACAAAAAAGACCAAGTGGACAGAGAACACTCAAAAAAGCTCACCGCATCAAAACGATTACCGCAATGAGGTAATGGTAAAAATTGACAAATTTTTTGTGTTCTTCTTTTTAGCAAATGCTCCATCTTCAGATAAAAAAGACCTTCGGTCAGAACTTGACGTGATGAAAAAACTAAAACCTCATCCCCACGTGATCAAGCTGTTGGGCTGCGTCACAGAAACCGGTAAGGAATGTGTGAAGGGAGTAACGTTTCAGTTTCTTGAAATTTGTGGCATATACGTTTTCCTGATGATTGTATACTGCCGGTCATTCGAATGATAGAGGGTTTTAACTAATATGACCAGAAGTTATAGGTGCACGTTAATTAGAATAAAAGTAAACGTTTACATAACAGAAGTATTCAATTATTCCCACAGAACTTGTCTGGTACACCAACGTGGCCGCCGTTCCATTGTTTTGGAACACCAATATGTCCTTCTTGATAGATACCATATGGAACAATTTAATAGGCAGGAAATATTAGAATGGATATATCACTGCGTTGAATAAAGTCAAACAAAGAGAACTAATTCCATGAGTTGAAGTAGATAACTTTAATGGCTTACCTATAAACTAATAGAAATGTCAGCAAATTAATTTTCAAATGAACATATGACCATCACAGCTCTAATGCAATTTAAGAACTTGCTACATTTTGTAAGTATGTTTGAAAGAAATATTGCAGAGTTTCAAAGAAAATAAAATAATAATGCGGTCAAACCCATGCAGTCTATACAAACACTGAGGGGACCATAGAAAGTGTCCGTATTAGCTGAGGGCTTTTTTTCCCCAGGGACAAAGCAAACTGTCCGTAATATGTAATGAAGTGTTCGCATTTAGCGGATGTCTTTAAAGCGGGGTTTCTTTGCAATTCAGGGCTTTTTATTTTCGGCCTTTGCTTCTGTTCCCTAAATTGCATTTAAACCTGCGATGATCATACCTCCAGTTAGATTTTGTATTGTCGCAGTTCACATAGTCTTAATTGAAAAGTACTAACTTCATTCTATGTCCCTTCGTGCGAACAAAATCATTAATATTTGCTTGGAGAGTAAATCGGATAATTTTCTAATGATATGTATATTTTTTACCATAGAGCCGTTGTTGGTTTTAATTGAGTATGTCCCGTACGGTGACCTACTGGGCTACTTGAGGAAGAGTCGAGGACTGAACGACACGTACTTTAAGGACCCGGATATGAAGCCACAGACCAATCTTACAGCAGAACAATTAATGAAATTCGCTTGGCAGGTAGCAGATGGAATGTGTTACTTATCCTCAAAAAAGGTTTGCTTTAAATGTGATTTCAACTAGAGGTAATAACTGATATTGGGACTGAAAGATATTATATTATTAACATTTATCTACAAGATAAACCTTTATGGAACATAAGATTGAGCACTCAAGGCTTAATTACAACCTTAAGTGTTAGTCTTACAAACCTTGCCCAATTCTAAACAAAACATATGCTCAAATAATGAATATCACGTAATGAATATATAAATTTCAAATAAATCTACTAAAAAAATTACATAAACGATATTGTCCAGAGATACCTCACAAAAGAGACTGCTCTATTAAGTGAGTATGAGAGAAAAACAGAGATTCGAAGGCGAACAAGGAGGTACAATCTCACGAAATCTCGCATAAGGCACCATGGGGAACTCACACTAGGCGCAGCGCAATCAGGAAGATCTTTGTCTTGCTAATAACTTTCTCTAGCCATGACCTTTCTTCGCGGTTACTCAAAATAGAACAAAAAAGTGCCATCGCATTTTTTTTCCTCAAATTAGTGCAAAATGGTTTCCTCTATCGTCTCTAGCAACTACAAATTTTAAATTCAGGGTGTGGTTTGTATAAAAAAAGCTTCTTTCCGTATTGGATAGGATTCCTTTTTTCTATATCAAGCGATTGTCTTCAGCGAACTGTCATGATAAAAACTTATCAAATTAACTGGCCTCTTCAGATGAGTCCGGTCGCCGGGACCAATTTCGCCTTGGGTTCAAATGTGAAATTTAAGCCCGGTTTCCAAAATCCTGTTTGGAAAAACCGCACGCGAGATCTGGGGAACCGAGGCAGCCCACCCTCTCATATGAACACATTGAAGTTAGAGGTAAATAAGCAAGATCATGGGAACCGGGCTCATGTGAGGAGGCCCTATGCACAGCTTTAAAAAGACTGTTATTTTTATCTTGATCCGATTTTTGAATAAGCCCTTATAAAAATTTTTTCTCATGTAGATTATCCATCGTGACTTGGCTGCAAGAAATGTTCTGGTTGGTGAAGGAGAGAAATGTAAGGTGACAGATTTTGGAATGGCAAGGGATGTGCATCAAGACGACATCTACAACAAAACGAGTCGCGTGAGTTCAACTAAGCACACCGTTTAATTTTAAATCATGTCGGGTTTTATCACAAAATTGCGTGAGATCTGTAGTCAGGGGTTCAAATCGCTACTTTGAAATCTCGAGTATCCTTAGCGACGTTTAAAAAGTTGCTAAGAAGGTAAAAACAATCAAAACATCGGCATAAGGGCGGAAATTAAATTTTGAAAAAAAAATTATTGATTCTAATTTGATTGTTTTCTAAGGGACGTCTGCCAGTGAAATGGACTGCTTATGAATCGTTGATGTATGGAACATACACTACACAGAGTGATGTGTAAGTATTTTTTGTATTAAAGTTAACATTTTTTTTTCATCAGGTTGCTGTTCTCAATCGTTTGAAGAAAATATTGCTTTTTGAATTGAGGATAGATATATCGTGCTTTCGTTGCACCGCATTTCAATTACTGCTCAGAAAGGTGGCATTACTGTGGTAAAAGAGGTTGCGCCAAACTTGAAAAAATCAATGAACGAGCCCTTCGCTTTGTGGCCCGTGACAAGTCAACCACGTACGAGACGATGCTAAAACATCTAAACCTGCTGTTCCCACTTAGACTCCTTTTACATGGAGTGTGGGAACCCGGTCTAGTGGGGTAAGTTTCTTTTGTTTTGTGTCCCCCAGAGCGTGAAAAAAGTCCCTAGAGGAATAGGAGAGCTATTGCAAGAACGATCAACTAATTATAATCTTAGAGGAAACCACATCCTCGAGCTACCCAAAGTGAATACAA